CTGCCTCTTAACGTTTTGTGAGATATATCCGAAACCTGGGCCCAATCTTACCAAATGCCGTGAATGCGCATTCACGGCATTTGGTAACATTCAGAACTATTCCACATTCGTTTATTCATTCATTCAGACAACATTCATAATCATTCACGCTATCAAAATCATTGGACAATATTAGCTGGATGTAAATAAAAAGGATTTCTTTGATATCAGTGCCGTAAACTCCGGCCAGTGCTGCCAAATCCTATTTACGGCATTGGTAAGATTGGGCCCTGATGAGCTACGAACGTGAAACTTGGCATAGCTTCGAATGATTATCTAGGCAATATTTGAGGAAAGTTAAGTGGTTGTAGCACTCAAGATGACGTCACAATGACGTCATAAATTTTTGTCGTTTTCCGATGCGGACCGTTTCTGATGTCGCTGAGCATGAAACTCAACTGTAACTAGTCAGCACCTGCTGTCATCCTAAAACATCTAAGTACACTTCCAACTAGTTCCTGACCAACAATCGGTCCTTGATATTTGGTCTCGTATATCGGATATTTCGTATCGAGAGTCGCAAATCTATAATTTTACGTCTGACGTCACTTTGACGTCATTTCAAATGGGATCAATTTAGACACAACCTCGGCTAGGTATTCAGGAAGATGTTTGCAAAGTTTCGTTTCTCTATCTCTTCGCGTTACGACGATATCGTCGCAGAAATAAAGGGGGTAACTATATGCCCCCTCCCCCACCCCAGCGCGGCGGCCGTCGGATGGCGCGGAGGCCCAGCGGCCGCCGGGTTATCAGGCAGCAGAGTTTGTTCTCGGCATAAATGCATGGATAGCAATGGCGTCATTATTTGCAAACGCTCACACGGTCAGGTATTACTGATAACGTGAATAAATGTGAGCGAAGATAAAGGTAGTAAGTACAACCTATTTTTCGCGCCGTTTCGGATCATTCGTTGTTGAAGTAATGGACAATTATTGCGGTCTTTTCAAAGCACCAAGTCAGCCTTGATGACAAGATGTTTTGCAGCCATCGAATTTCAGTTACCTGCCATCTATTATCCTTCCAACTCATGTCATCTTAAACTTCTTTGATTATGATGTTTCTTACTTATGTCACCTTAACCCGGCAGTTCCTGGGGTATTTCGCCACCCACCGTTTGCTGGGGGGGGGGGGGCGTTAAACGCCCCCAGCCGATAACTCGAGAACCAATAGGCGCAGCGAAACGCACGAGGCGGCAAACGAAAGAACGCGACGAGACGCTTCAGATGAGTACTTTAAAGTTGAATTTTGAGGTCACAGGTCAGGTCAAGGTCAGGTCAAACACCTGAAATCGGGCTTTCAGTAGCATGGACTTCAGGACTTCGCAATGGGCGCCTCTCGTCATAAACTCTGTCAAAACGGTGCACAATCCATCATATAAGGCCTACAAGAGTGTCAGTTCCATGTAGGGGTCAGTCAAGCATAGGTCAGGGTCAAGGTCAGGTCAACCGGGCAGGCACATATCCCCGAAAATCAAAACTGATATTCGCAGCCTGTGACACATGTTTTAAGGGTAATTTGGGGCGTAGAACACGATGGTGGCATTCATTTTATCGTATGTGTACACTGTACGTGTTTGGCTAAAAAAGTTCAATTTAAGAAATACATGTATCATGGTCGTGAAGTAGCCACAGGAAATTGCCAAGATTCAGGTCAATTTTTTGGAAAATGCGGAACGATAATCAATAATCGATGATAGCCATTTGATTGTTCATGGTATTGGCAGTCTAATGGCGTTCACGGCATGTCTGTATGTCTATTCTGTGATTTTATATGATTTTTTGAACATATGCCGTTTTTTGTCAAAAACTCAGAAATAATGACGTCACTAAAACCTCGATATCTAAAAAAATTTCCGACCGATTTTTTTTTAAACTTTGTCACAATAAACTTCAATCAATTCCCCACAGGTACCCAAAATTTGGCGCGCCTGCGGCGCGCCGTTTTTATGCAATGGCCCGGCGAAAAAAGTGGGGGCGTTTAACGTCCCCCCCCCAGCAACTCGCGGGTTAACCCGCGCCGGGCCGGGGGTGTTTGAACACCCCCTCCCTGAGGTTTTTCGCAGATATCTAAAAAGCGGTGGCGCGGAGCGCCGCCGTTTTTGGCACACCTGTTTCTGCATCTTTTCCGCACATGTTGTAAAAATTTCAGACCCAGGTCGCCTTAGGTTAGGTCACCAGGTCACGCCAAGAGACCTCACCTCCGAAAAAATAAGAATGCTCGTCATAGCTACACCGATTGATCGATTGCCTTGAAACATTCAGCGATTGATAAGAGCAGCATTATCTATAAATGTATATCTTGGAATTTTGATATCGGTGACCTAAGGTCAGGTCAATTTTGCGGCCTCTCCATAATAAGTCAATGGGAGAAAATTAAAAAGCGTCTGTTTTGCACGAACGCTATTCTAGACACTCTCAAACTTCGAGATGTAGGTAAGATTGACAAACTGAACCGGAAAATGGCAACTCTGACCCCTCGTTATGTACCCGAGGTCATCTCAGGCCACGAACAGAATCTCGACAAGAGGAACACGATGCTGGCTGGCAAAAGTAATGTCATGGCTCTTTTGAGTCAAAAGTTATTGCCGAAAAAACGTGTTTCGTAAAATGGCTATTTTTGGAGTTTGTGCCCTCTGGAGGCTAAACCGTTGACCTGAGGTCAAATCTGAAACATTACTCAGAAAGATATGTAAAAGGGCTATCGAATGAGCTTTTTCGGGGCGCTGTAGCTCCATCGGTTCCCGAGATAGCCGTTGGCAGTTTCCAAAATGTTGAAATAGTCAACATTTTACCTTTGGTGACCTCTGGTGACGTGACCTTTGACTTGACCCAAAAAATGACCGAAGTGTTTTCGTCCTTATTTTGGACGTTCTTTTGATTGCCGCTTACTGCGTGTCGCTACGGGGCCCAAAAGCCGAGTTAGAAGGGGGGTATTCAGACACCCCCCCCCGGCCCGGCGCGGAATCTCAGAGCACCGGCCCGGCGCGGGTTAAAGCAATGTTTCAATGAAACAATTTTTAAAACAATGTTATATAAAAATGCAATTTAAACCCATGTTTCATAATATCAGTTGTTGTTTTTCTTTATTCCCGAAAGAAACTTTTACTTTTACTTACTTTTCGTTAAGTTCGGGGGTGGCCATTTACCCTAACTGCTTCATCTCCCCCTGGATTCGCCAGTGTCATTCCACATAAAGACGTCGCAAAAATAGTCTTCTAAGGTTTTTATTTTATTTTAGAAATGTCTATGTCTGGTATTTTATAACGAATACTCACTGCGTAATGTTACAAACAATTTTTCCCTGGTAAGTGACTGGCCGATAGCCACGTAGTTCTGCTGCGTTTCTTGTTAGATTATATTTGTCATCATAGATATTGTTAGATGTAGCTCATAGGAAACATAGCAGTGGACTTCGTTGATATTTTGAACAACCCTACAGTGTTGTCCGAAATTGAAATCGTTACTGTTTCCAATGAAGAAGTTGTCAAGAGGTGACAAAAGTCTAAACATATTGTGCATTAAGATGAAGCTTAAGAAATGTTTTTGAAATTCACAAACATTACATTTGAGAGGCTAACACACATTTTTACCGAACCTAGTTATAACAATGTGGCTGTGGTTATTGGAGAATTCAAATCAGTATCTCTTCCAAACAGCGTTCTCACGGTGCATAAAGACCGTGCCGGTTACATGCCATAGGAGAGCAGCTTAGCGCCGGAATATCAGAGAGGACCCGCTCCAAACCTAATCCGACCCCGGGTGATTGATGGGACACTAATCTTACCACCTAATGTCCTCACAGAAGACCACCGGCCGGTGTCAACGCGCCGCTAATAGCTCCCCGGCACGGACGGTGGCGCGGCGCAGTGGGGGTCAGACGGAAGGGCTGATGGGAACATTGGCGTCCCTCGGAGTCAGGAGCGGCAGGTACTGGTCCGGACTTTACCCCTGTGACTGTCTTATCAGCTAGCCTGGTCAGTGAAATGGACACCCCTGTGAGCCCCCGGTGCGGGTCACGATAATCCCCCGACACCGCCGACCACCCGAGGACTGATTAGACAAATGAGGGCAGGGACACACATCAGAGATCGACGCTCCCACGCTCTAGGTGACTATAACTGTAAATATTATGTGGTATACAAATATGTGGAACTGGGCACAAACTGCCTCAGTCATATATCTTAGCTCTTGGATATTGCCTGCATTCACATCAATATCAATATTCAAACCATGAAAAGAATGTATCTTTGAAATATCTCAAGAAACAAAAATTAGCCGTTTTCACGACGGCCAAATGGTACACATTTGGTGCACACCTGGTACAGATTAGGTGCAGATCTGGTCAAATCAGGTTCAGTGTGTCTCATAGCAGCTATCAGCTAGGGTTGCACTAATTGCTTATATGCCTGCTTTGTCGTATTATCTGAGAGCATCATCGATTAAAACACTGAAATAAAATCTTAAAATGAAGATATTTGCTGTAAAAGAAATTAGGTGCAGATTTGGTCAAATCAGGTGCGTTCGCCGGATAGCCCGTCGTGAAAACGGCTATTAGGTACAGCTCTCTGCAAACTGCGTGGTAGGTATTCTTTTTTCGACAAAACGGAGAATAACGTGAATTCTATGCTAACGGTCACTCGGAAATCGTAACAGCAAGACGCGCGAGACTCCGCACCTTAGATTGGGCTTATTTTGGTATACATTTTCCAGCTAGTTTGGCAACAACACACAAAGGTTTATATCTGCCCCAAAACAAACTTTTGCATTTTGTTGCTACACTAGTCATATACTTTGTTCAGCGATAGAACCAATCGAAGGAGTGGAGCATGGCGCATCTTTATGCAATGAGATCCGACTGACCGATAACTTAGCCTTTGAGTTATAATCGGTTTTGTCGAAAAAAGAGTACCTACCACGCAGTCTGCAGAGGGCTGTACTTGATTCTGCCTCCACAAACTTGTCCTTCCTTTGCAATATATTTTAAATTCCTTGTAGGAAATTGCACACATCACACTTAAACATCATACAAACACGATGAATTGGCGATGTTACGACGCTCAATATCATTAAATTAGTGGCCGTATCCACCATGTCCAACATCGGCGCTGTATCCGTAGGAATATCCACCGCCGTATCCGCCGTGTCCACCGCCGTATCCGCCGTATCCACCGCCGTATCCGCCGTGTCCATATCCACCAGATCCCTGGGCCTGAGCGTAGATTTTGGCGTGTCCTCCGACAAACTTGCCGTATCCTCCGTATCCGCCGTATCCACCGCCGTGGCCACTGTTGAAATAAAATAGATCCTTGTTATTTGCATACCTTTCAGATGTGTCAATCAGATTTCAACTTTTTTGTGTACCACCAAACCGATACCAACTTGGAGTTAGGTATTTCAGTCCTAGTGCTTTTGGTATTTTGTGTGTAACCATTATGAATGATCATACTCGTAAGATGGGAGTATAGGAGCTTGGGATTTAAAAAAAAAGAAGGCCTTTCTCCTAATTTTTAAAGTTGTTTTGGTTTGTGGTATTTTCCAATGTTTTTGGTTGATGTTTGGTTTGGTACTATCGGTAATCGGTATCCTGATTTTCTGTAGTTGACATCACTAATACCTACACACTTTTATACATCACAAGAAACAAGACATAACAGGATAGAATATCTCCTTTTTTGGGCTTTGAATGAAAAGGCATTGAAACATCACGTTGAATGTCATGACCAACAACTATATTTCAGTACGAACTCGAGTTGGTTATATGTTATTCAAGGGAGCCAGCAAACAATAAACAACAAATAGCTTGAACTTCTTTATTTCATACTTACGCATAAGTGGCGTGAGTCTGGTGAACTCCGTATTTGCTGCTGCCCCAGGGATTGTACCTGAAAAAGGTGCGTGGGTAAAACGAATGAAAATCACTCGTGACACTTAACCACCTTTCAATGATTGGCTACTATAGCAAATTGAAAATCAATTTAGTAAAGTGGCTCGTATTGCCTAGTGGATAAGATATTTTTACGATTGGTTTAGGTCAAGAACGACTCAAGGGATCTGGTAGGTAATCGGTTTGTACTGGCGAAGTTGAAAAATTTGCCTTGTCAGTTGTATGTAAATGGTTCATTATTTTAGTTTACATACTGTTGGACGCTGACGTGACTCTGGGCACCATATCCACCACCATATCCACCGCCGGCAGCCGCGGCGGCCACACACAGGGCGAGAACGACAAACTGAAACAAAGGAGAATGATTAATTCTGACGGTTTGTTCGGGATACAGAACACAGTCACGGATAAGACACTGTTATTCTGGAATGACTTCAATTCTAATTATCCTTATTGGGATGAATGTATGTTTTTTGCTGCTGAAGTAAGTCATTCGACTTTCAGGTGTTGCAGGAGCGCGATTAAACTATTTTTAGCTTGCCTTGATCATGTTGTGTTGCTCGGTGACTGGTCGATGTTGACTGTGCCCCTGCTCCCCGCTGTCCGACCATTTATACAGTCCGTGTCCACCCCGAGGGCGGGGTCGGGTCGTGACTTGACCGGTGCCGCCGGGGGACGGAAGGTCAACCCTCCCCTACTGTCCCACATTTCCCGCTTGTTATCAGCACTGGGACACTGGTGACCTTTAGACGCGTGTCCCGCGGTCACTGAAATGAACGGTCACACCTAACGCCACGATCTACCCGCTACAGTGGTGCGGGCTGCAGGTAACCTTATCTCTGTAGTGATTTCACATCGTTGGGTAATTGACAAATCTCCTAATGGTAATGGTTCGTATTCAACCAAGTGTGTAATTACACATATTGGGTAAAGGTCATGGCGCGTGTAGAATTTACACGCGCCATGACTACATACATCTTACTAGGTAAGATGTAACATCTTCTCTATTCGACTTAGCACATCTAGGCGCATTTTATTTTGGCAGCATATGCTGCATGCTGGTCTTTCATGCACGGTGGTCATTGGATTTCCTCTCATTGATACTTTTCGCATCCCTACCAATTGGTATTGACACCTGCTACCTGCGGAGCAGCTATTCATAATGTAGCAGGTGTTAACAATGTAACAAGTCTATCTTTTCCAGATAAAACGCGTCTGTCCAGTGCTTCGTACCATTTTTCGCCCCGCCCCCTTTCCGCCATCGCCCAGCCCTCCGCTCGCGTCATCAAAGGACATTACCGTAACCACACCAGCAGTCAGACGAACCAGCTCCCCTGTCTGGGGCTTCTGATCGCTGATTGGTGGATACGGTGGGACTCCTGGACGCTGATTGGTGGAGAGATCTGCTGTCGCCCGAGGGCGCAGTCGATACGACTGGTGAGTGGAGGAGGAGGATAGAGGAGGGGGCATGGGGGGGGGCGTCGCAGGAGAGAGAGAGAGAGAGAGAGAGAGAGAGAGAGAGAGAGAGAGAGAGAGAGAGAGAGAGAGAGAGAGGAGAGAGATAGAGAGAGAAGAGAGAGAGAGAGATAGAGAGAGAGAGAGAAGAGAGAGAGAGAGGGGAGAGAGAGAGAGATAGAGAGAGAGAGAAGAGAGAGAGAGAGGGGAGAGAGAGAGATAGAGAGAGAGAGAAGAGAGAGAGAGAGAGAGAGAGAGAGAGAGAGAGAGAGAGAGAGAGAGAGAGAGAGAGGAGAGAGAGGAGAGAGAGAGAGAGGAGAGAGAGCTGGTGACATCCGTGGTTCATTGTAAACCCCACCTAGGTACCACAAAGCGTTCATACCATTTTCGGTCCACTGGACGAGCTGCTCTCTCATCGGGTCGTGACCGGGGTCAAAGGTCAGCAGTGCTGTCGGTCCTTCAATGACCTCCAGCTCACTGAGCCCAAGTCGAGCGGTGATGCCGTGTCAGTGTTGAGTAGTCCCGGTCATAGGTGTAGCAACGTATCTCTTTGGTGAAGGATACCTTTCACCAAAGTTTTAGATTGGTGAAGGATCCTTCACCAATCTTGAGCAATGCAGGTGAGGGTCTTCACCAATGCTAGAACGACTGGGTTCGACGGTCGATCTAATGTTAAAAAAAGAAAAGCAATGCCGAATGGGATGAACAAAAAGGCTATTGCTAAAACGGCAACAGGTACCCAATTACCCCATCCTTTCAGTTATGAAGAGTTATGCCCACCTTCTTCACAATTCACGCCATTTAACCCGCGAGTTGCTGGGGGGGGGGGGGCGTTAAACGCCCCCACTTTTTTTTCGCCGGGCCATAGCATAAAAACGGCGCGCCGCAGGCGCGCCAAATTTTGGGTACCTGTAGGGATTTAATTGAAGTTTATTGTGACAAAGTTTCAAAAAATCGTTCAGAAAATTTTTGAGATATCGAGGTTTTAGTGACGTCATGATTTCTGAGTTTTCGACCAAAAACGGCATATGTTCAAAAAAATCATATAAAATCACAGAATAGACATACAGACATGCCGAAAACGCCATTGAACTGCCAATACCATGACCAATCAAATGGCTATCTTCGATTATTGATTATCGTTCCGCATTTTCCAAAATCTTGAACTAATCTTTGCAATTTCTCGCGACTACTTCACGACCATGATACATGCATTTCTTAACCCTATTCCTGGCGGGCTCCGCCGGGACAAGAAACTGGCGGGGGGGGGGCCGATTCGGCCCCCCCCCCCTGAGATCTCGAGAACGAAGCAAGATAGCGACAAGCGGTAAACGGCATCGGATACGCACGGCCAAGATCTACAATTTTTACTAAGGTCATTTTCAGGTCAGGTCAAAGATGACGTCAAAGGGGTCGAAAAAGTCAAAATGGCGGCGCTAGATATGGAGAGTTTTTCTCGAATAACTTTCGAATTAGTCAAGATAGGAACAAACTAAGGGCATCATCGTGATCCTCTCGTCAATCCGCATCGAATGATATATATGTTGACCTCGAAAGGTCAAGGTCAAAGGTTGACCTCAGGTCACGTGACCTCGAGGTCATCATGTATATCATTCGATGCGTCTTGACGAGCTGAACACAATGAGACCATCCACGCGTCTGTATCTTGTTCCTGTACGGAGTTATTGGCCAAAAACCTTTGGTGACCTTTGATGACGTCACATGACCTCACAGCTGCCCAACAGCAAAACAGACCTCAAGGTAGTGAAGGTTGATCGTATATGAAGTCATGTATGGTATATGGGGCCATTCCGACCCGTTTTAGTGGTAAAAACAGGGAGTTGATTTTTCCCCCATTGACTTATAATGGGGAGGTCGCGAAATTGACCTGACCTTAGGTCACCGATATCAAAATTCCGAGATATACAAATTGCACATACTGGTACCCTAACTAAACCCTGAAGAGAAGAAATTGATCGGTCAAAAACTCTAGCTCTGGCGTGATTGCAAACTTTTCTGAGGTAGGGTCACCAAACCGCCTCTGGTGACCTGACCTGAGGTCAGATCAACTCAAAGTTTTCAGACATGTTGCGTAGAAGCCTTTTAGGAAAAGTCAGAAAATTTGAGCTTCCTAGCTCAACGCGTTTGGGAGAAATAACCAAAAAACCTCAGGGGGGGGGCTCCTGAGGCCCCCCCCCCGCCAGGAATAGGGTTAAATTGAACTTTTTTAGCCAAACACGTACACATATGATAAAATGAATGTCACCATCGTGTTTTACGCCCCAAAGTACCCATAAAACATGTGTCACAGGCTGCGAATATCAGTTTTGATTTTCGGGGATATGTGCCTGGCCGGTTGACCTGACCTTGACCCTGACCTAAGCTTGGCTGACCCCTACATGGAGCTGACACTCTTGTAGGCCTTAAATGATGGATTGTGCACCGTTTTGACAGAGTTTATGACGAGAGGCGCCCATTGCGAAGTCCTGAAGTCCATGCTACTGAAAGTCCGATTTCAGGTGTTTGACCTGACCTTGACCCGACCTGTGACCTCAAAATTCAACTTAAAAGTACTCATCTGAAGCGTCTCGTCGCGTTCTTTCGTTTGCCGCCTCGTGCGTTTCGCTGCGCCTATTGGTTCTCGAGTTATCGGCTGGGGGCGTTTAACGTCCCCCCCCCCAGCAAACGGTGGGTGGCGAAATACCCCAGCAACCGCCGGGTTAATAAACCAGTATAACGCCTTTTGGGGCGACTAACGGAGCGAGCGAGAGGGTGAGCTTTGCACGTGCGAAATTTCGACGGGGTACCTCCAGCTGACTTGTGCACGGCACCCTACTAACCGGTCCCTAACTGTTTGCCAAATTTGAGCGCCATCGGTCCAGCCATTGTCGAGATCTAGAATCGACCCCTGCACGTGCGCACGTGCAGCAGCACCCCAACTCTGGCACATGGATATGCATTGCCTAGTGGGTGCCTACCTACATGCCAACTTTCAGCGCAATCGGCTAAGTACCTAGTTACCGAGATATTGCAACAATTACAAAAGTGACACCTCTTCGTTTTGCACGTAGCACGTGCATAAGGGGTCACCCACATGCATCGGGAATAGTCCAATACTTGGTAGAAGGAATAAAGCTACCGTACAAAAATTACCGCGTGTAAATCGGTCAAGTGGTTGCTGAGATATAAGCGTCGCAGAACCGTGACCGCGGCCGGTCGGCCGGCCGCTCATACTCAGAAATTTCCGTTAACTCAGTAAATGCCGTGAATATCAAAATATATTGGCTTGTTTTTACTCGTGGGAAAGTTGTAAGGCTTTGGTCACGAAAAAAGAGCAGTGGAGCATACCTTTAGGTTCCAAAGGTATGCTTGGATAGTGGATACTTCTGGTAGGTATCCAAAGCGAGAAAAAAAAACAGGAGGAGTTGACGAAATTCCCCCCCCCCCCCCCTCCACTGCGGTAAGGTCCTGCACCTTCTCCGAAGGTTCAGATGACTTCTCCGAGGGTTCAGGTGACATCCTTCACCAATATTTTTGGCGCTCCTACACCCATGGTCCCGGTAAAGGAGGGAGCGTGGCAACAACCACTGGGTATCTGTATTACTGAAGTCATCATGAGGCACCAGTCATGTCAACATCCGCCACGTACTGAAGAGTTGGGCGCTGCCGTACTCTGAAGAGCGGAAACATGGCCTCTCGTCCGATACCACTATCGCTAGCTAAATATAACCACCGCTCAGTCTGAGGATTGATGAGATTTCTTCGACGTCACCAATACCTCACCAGCCGACTGTAGTCACACAGTCGT